CTACCGTAGGGATTCGCCCACCGCTCAAAGAGGAACAATGCTATTACTTCTAGCATTATTAATGGTATAACCACGACCATTCCTATTACTGCCACTACTAACACTACTACCGAAATATTGACTCTTCTACTACTACTGTCATTATTGCCATCGTTGTTATTACTATTACCAACGGTATTACTGATTCTAATACTATTGCTGCCACCATAGCTACTAATACCACTACCATTACTTATACCACCACCAACACCGCTACCAGTAAGACTATTAATACCACTACTATTACTACTGTGGGGTTTCGCCCACCGCGCAAACAGAAACAATCAACATCTTATCATGAAATTTTGACTTTCATCTTTTATATACACAAGATAATCTCTCACCTCACCACCAAGGATGTAAAATTGGGATTCCGGCACGTTCTGTGCGGAAAGGGATCCGCAGGGCAAGATCAGCACACCCTTGCGAATATTCAGCGGACCGCGCAGGCGTACCTTCCTCCCAGGCGCAAATTTGGTCTTGAGGTCGATGCTGCCCACGGGCCGTCGTGGTACGCCAAGCTCAACTGCCTTAATAGTGGACACGCCGTCAGTAAGGAGAACGGCCAGGGTTGGAGTCGAAGCAATCGCCCCTACGGAAAATGTATATGCATGATCTACTTAAATAGCACAAGTAGTATTATTGTATTTACCTATTTTTATACTGGTAGAAAACGCACCCCTCCGGCCAGTCGTAGACATTTGTGAGGCAGAATGATATTGAGAGGCATTGCCATCATCAAAGTCCGGATTAGGCCTTTCCAAGTCTGGGAGGTCAACACTCAGGTCTCCGTCAATATGCCGTAGCTGGCCATAGTATGAGTCACCGATGTTGATACATCCGCTCACCTAAAGCGTCAGACAGAAGGCAATTAACGGAGGAGTACAATAAAATAAACACCCGGAATATACAGCTGCTTCAATACACAGATAGAAAAACATCGAACGTCGAAACGGAAAGTAGCTCAGAGATGGACGTAGATTGGGGACAGCGACCGCAGGAGATGCCAAATTATCTATTTCGTTCAGAAGGAGAGGCGATCACTGGAACAAGAAGATTATTGGTTGAACGTTTCGGATTCTGGTTTGAACGCATCAACGTAGACAACGCCCTTGCCTGCAATTGTCTCTAATGAGGGGACAAGCACTTTATTCGCCTGACGTTTGGGACCGCAAGAGCGGGCAACTATCCTCAACAGAGAGGGGGCCGTTAAATGTCATAGGCATGTACTATAATAACGACTGTATCCTAGAAATACTGAAAGTCCCTATGTACAAAATAGCCGTTTCTGTTACTGTCTTTGAGGAAGAGTTAGAGAGGTAATTTTAAGAATGAGGTAAATGAAGTTATTTCCTAGTAGTCGCGTCAATGTCTTCTTGATTCCTTGTTATGCAATAGTTACTCGTTACAGTAGAAAATTTATATTAGTATATTTCACGAAGAAGTAAATATAAACACCAACTACGGAAATTGAATGCACCCATACAGTCAGACGCATGCCGACGTGTACACGTCAGCAAATGGCGCTGTCAAAAACGGTCGCCCGAACAGGGACTCGAACCCTGGACCCTCAGATTAAAAGTCTGATGCTCTACCGACTGAGCCATCCGGGCCCGGCAGTTGCACTGCCTGAAAGTGTTTAGGTTCAATAGCGTCAGACGTGTCTTGAACGTGCATGCGCGCCGAAGTGCATCCCAACACGACCCTCTGATAAAAAGCCCGCTGACTGAGCCACTCGGATAATTTATGGCGCTGTCAGTATTAGCGCATCAGTTAAGATGATGAGCGGACCGTACCTACTGCAGTCCCTACCAAAACTGATGCAGTAGAAGGGGAAGCTGACTTTTGGCTGTATTTGTCAGTTGGTCGCGGCAAGGTCAGGTTACTCGTGTGTAAGTGCGCGTATGCTGTGTGACGCAAGGCAAGGACGGCTGTTTTCACGCGTAGCACGGGTTGCGTCGCAGGCGGGCTGGACTATGGCATAGTAACCGATAAACTGCGTTAACTATGAACAGATTGCTGGCAGAAGCGAAGGGGCGAATTCTTATTATGAACAGATTGTACAAGAAGGACTTAACTTCCTATGTTTAATGGTCCGATAAATGATTGAAGACGTTTAACATTGAGAAATGTGTCGCACTACAGCCAGCGCTGTAGGCGACGCTCACCAAAGTGCCTGTCAGATTTAACCGAACAAAAGGACCTAGAAAAAACCTTTTTTTACCTCTGAGGCCTCTTCACAACGTGTAATGCCTACCAAAAGACTGACTAGCATTCTCTTTGTTATTATAAGAACCCTCGTAGATACCAATACAGAAGTATTTGGAAAAGTAAACGGGAAGTCTATTCGTTCTCAACCGGAATATGGAGTCAAGGCGTAGCGCCTGTGACTGAAAAAGGCTTACAATCTACTAGAGAAGGTTCAAAGGAGGACAACAAAAGTTGTGAAACGTCTAAAATCGTTATCTTACGGATGCAGACGTGAGGCGCTTAACCTTCTCCCTCTTGATTACAGGCAGATCCGAGGCGACCACAGACAGGCTTAAGGGCTCGTGAGGAATCGGGAATGCGACTTGCACATTGGTGGCAACTTTCAACTGGGGATTCTGTCAAACGTCGACAAACCTTATCTCATTTAGATGTCCGTTGCAATTCGTTTCACAGCGAGTTTTCGATATCTGTAAGAGACTTCCCGGGGAAGTTATAATGGCGGACACGACAGACGCATTTAAACATAATCTTGACGCACATTTTTCTTAATAAACAATCAGTACTTTTTATATTTCATTTAAGTTACAAATTCGCCTAAGATTGTTCATTATTATTTTAAGGTTTTCGTACCTGTGTTTGTGCCGTTTTGCGAGTGATTATTAAGTTTTCACAGACTGCGGCATTTTGCATGAATTTCAGTCCGCACTGCATGTAATCTTTGATCTTCAGGATGACTGTGTTCAAATCCCACTGTCATCAAAATAATTTGTCCATGTTAATATGTTACTTCCTATTTTATAGTAGGCTTTCTGTTTTATCTTAAGATTGGATGTCTTTAGAGGCAATGTCTATTACTCTTGAATATACCGGACTACAGAAGTAATTGTAGGGTTCGGCTGGCCCACAATCTATCAGACTGCTCTGAACCCGAAAAAAGTCATAACTACTACCGCAGAGGCGTGTAGTGACAAGCTTTAAACGTAGGTTCCCGCACTACATCAACCACAGCGTCGAATCCTATGGGATAGTCTCACACAGGCCCTTCCCCACGGCTGCTCGGCACATTCCCCACTATCATACCACGGACGCACTATCCGTAGCTGACTGGCAGACTGTCACCTGATGGAATAACACGATCAGGAAACTGAGCATCAGTCTGTACTTATTCACCTGCCTTGATGGCGTTCTCTCTGAGGTTTTTAGGGAAATCTGCAGC